TGGAGTTCCTTGGGCTAGGCCTGACAGGTTCTGAATATTGGTCTCCTGTCCCCTCCAGATTTAGTTTAAAATCTGCCAGCCAACCTCAGATGTCTTCAAAACACATTCTTCCCAATCTTTGAGGTACAGCCCACCTCTTGCTTGAAACTCTTCCTGTAGAGAGTGTAGACCATGTTCCAAGAGTTCAGCAGAAAGAACAGTTCCTGCTCTTCTACACTAACCTTGTTATGGGGAAGAGGCTGACAAAAACAAGAGGCTTCACCGAGAAGGAGCTACCTTAAACATTTGGAAGGGCATGTCTGTGGAAGAGAATCATTATACCTTACCTAAAATTACAACCTCAGCCCTGCCTTTGTTATTACAAAGCATGGCCTCCAATTGTGGAGTTCCTAACTCCAGTATCCCCCAGAGGCATTCTCCAAGATTATCATTATCAGGGTTGAAGAGTCTATAAAAAGGATGAGGGGACTGGAGAATATTCCATAGGGGCAGAGGCAGGGAAAAGAAAGCGACAGAATCATCATTAACAGCCATATCTGAAACAAGGCAGCCAACCAACTGCAACCACCTCCTTTACTATTTCTAGAAATCCAACAGCTCCCCCTGCTGGTATACAAAACCTTATACAATATTATTAAGGAGATAAGAAAGAAGAAAGATCAAGGAAAATCTTGGCCTTTTCCCCCCAGAGAATTCCGGAACAAAATGTGATTATTTGGGACTGGGAGCAGCGATGATGGTGCTGCCAGTATCTGCAGACATTCCTTGAATTGGCTTGACTGCTGCCACACAGTTTTCCTATTTGTTTACCAGCTCACCCAAGGTTACCTGGGCCCCTCCCTCATTTTACCTCTACAAAAATCTTGGGAGAGATTAAGCTGAGAGGCAGTGACTGGTGTACTTCACAGTTAAGTTGGGACATGAATCTGAATCTCCCCAATCTTAACTCACTCTTACCACATTTGCATAGCAGTACAGCTGAAAGTATGCAAAATGCTTCAATACTCAGAAGTAGTACTTGGTGGTAGATTAGATTAAATGGCAAACCTGCTTCCATGAAATGGCCTGTATAGGTCTGTTTCACCACCAAGTCTCATCCTCTTGGTTTTTTTTTTTTTTTAGCACTCTTAGATGGGCTCTATTTGCTTCTCATTTCTTAGGAGCCAAGATGTCCACATCTCCTCGTAAGTAAAACTCCCAGTCGCCCTTCATCAAGCCCCATTCTCTCATCAGCAGCACAGATCGACTTATAATTTCATTAATGAATGTGCCACAACAGCTTAGAGCTGAAGTCAGCTGTCCTTGACAAGGAAGCTGTGCTGTGCAGAGCTATTTAAATTTCCCGCCCTTTCCCTCCCCGCTGCCCCCCAAATCCAGAAGAGAGAAATCCCAAGCTGTCTACCAGTGGCCAGGGCAGATTTCAACTAATCTGTTAATGTATCTTTGGCTAGACTGCTTTTGGCCTTAGTGCAAAAGCAACATCTGCTGGAGTGATCTTCTGATTACAGAGCCCCCAAGAGGAAGCGGGAATTAGTCTTCTCTTATCGGGCTTTGGCTTACGCAGGGGGCATCCTCAGGCATCCCTCTAGTAATGGGCTCAGGAGAGCGGAATCCAATCAAGCGTAACACTCCACATACGAACAGGGCCTTCTGTTCGGCTATCTCAGAATTTGGGATGGAAGAAGTTAATCCTAGTCCATCCTTAAATAGAGCAGATTATCACCAAAGTGAATTGCAATATATTCTATTCAAGGAAACAAGATTTGTCTATAAAAACTAAGTCCGATAACCATAATGAAGAATGAAAAGTAATGTGATTGGCACATTGTGTGGAGTGGGAAAGTCAATGCTGCATTGAACAGGCTGGTGAGAAGAATATAAAGCTTCTGCATGTTGAATGATGTGCCTTAAAACCCCATCAGTGTCAGTTTCCCACTCATCTCACAAGCAAAGCACATCACCGTATGCCCTCTTTATGAACTTCCTAGGAACATTTCACTGACTATTATTAGAGAAGTGATACTGGAACCACACTGGTCTGATCGAGTCTTAGGCCAACACTTCACTACGAAGCCCTGCAGTAGAGCCTAAGACTGCAAAACCATTTTTCAGTATCTTTCGCAAAACTACAATTTTCAGGTTTGGGGGAAGGAAGGTCACAATGGTTAGATCAGATTTAAGCCAGCTGAAATTGGTGTTGGATAAATGCCCTTAAGTGTGAATGTTTTGTTACTGTCTTGCTTATGGCAGATCTGATTATTTGCCAGGTAGCACAATATTATCTCCTCTGACTGGAGCAGATTATGTCTCCAGGGATTCAGGTAGAGAGACGGTTCCTTTTCATCACCTACTACTTGATCCTTCCTACATACAAAACAAGTGTTCTGTCACTGACCCGTAATCCCTCTGCTTTCTGGAGACTTTTAGGTTGTACCTATATGATGTGACTTTCTTTTCCCCCTCACAAATGTCATTTATACAAAGAGAAAAAAATGAGTGGATTATTTCCTGGATATTTACAGCCAAGAAAACAAGCCTATTGACTGGCTGTAACTCAAAACGGTATTTGTTTGGAAATACTACGCATAGTATACTCATTAAGCATACTTTCAGTCTCAAGTCTGGCAAAATCCCTATGTGAATAAAAAGTTCCAGTTCCACTGGCAATAATCTAGTTAGAGTAAGAATTTTGCTGGAACCAGAACTGGACTGCTGCCATCCTGCCCAAAATGTTGCAATGGGGTGGAATGCTAAACCAGACAAAATTTAACTCTTGGAACGTATACACTCCACAATAAAAGGGCACTGCCAGTTTCTCAGCTCCACTGTCCTGCTAAAACCAAACACTAATCACAGAGCTGTACAAACAAAAGATTTTCCAGCTATACAACTAGCATCACCTAGTGGAGACAAGGAAATAGACTTCAAGGATTTTTCAGGCTTCCAAAATGAAGTGGCTGAGAGTACACATAATTCTTTAATTGAAAACTTTGGGGGGGGGGAGTAGACACATAGGAAGGAGTAAAAGTGAAAAAAAAAAATCAGAAACTATATTTGAAAAAGTTCCAGAATGACAGCAAGACCCCATCTAGGAACATCAATACCTATGGCAAGTGCTTCACTCTTTTGCAATTGTAAAATGTTTCCTGCTCACTCATTAGGGTCTCTCCATGTGGGAGATCCCAGGGCAGAAATACTAAAAATGCAAATAGGCAACTGCCATCTCACACAGAATAAGAGAAGTGTAAGATATGTTCTTTGTTAAGCTGTGGAATGGTAGCAACCCTTCCTGTCAGAGAGCAATCAACTATGTCATGTGGCTTTAGTCATCATGCACAGTAATATTTCTTGACCTGTTATGCCACACTGAGGTTTTGGGAAGCTTCTCCTCAGTTAAAGCCAGCTTAGAGGAGCCCAACATCCCACGGGCACTTCCTTTCTGAAGCTCAATCACACCACTAGGAAACCATGTTACTGAAGAAATCATGTCATGGCGTCCTGACAGACAATAGCTTCCTAGTGATATTTAAACTTCAAAATCTGTTAATGTCAATACTGACAAGACGCACCAAGCACTTCAACACAGCATGTATTAAAAACAATGGTAGTAAATACCCAGAATCAAAATTTCCATACTTGCTCTTTTCAAATCCACAGCATGTATGCACGCAGTATTTATAATAATAAAGCTATGTGCAAACTGCCTGGCTTACCCTGCTTTATCTTCCCACACAAGTTCATATGTCAAAATTAGTTATGCCTGGGGATAGGCAAAAGAGGCTGTGGCAGGGGAAATGGGAGAAAGCAAAGGATGCAAATTATTGGAAAACCTTGGACCCAACCATTTGTACAGGCCTCTGTTGTCTTCACACAGAGCAAGGAAAAAACAGCTCAGATAAGATTGTTTAGGGCAGGACAAAGGAAGCTTATCAAGAGCCAATTTAACAATTGGCTAGGAAGCTTATCAAGAGCAGCAACATTTAACCCAAGCTAGAACACAAATGTAAGTGTCTTTCTGAGCACAACTGCTAAGTACTACTAGATCCTCCCCAAGATACCATTTTTCTTCCTTTATCTCACTCATTTGCCCTGCAGGTGCTTTTACACAGCATAACAAAAGCTATGCAGAGAGTGGAGATTGGAATACATGGCTGGTTTGAGGGGGAGTTCTGAAAGTGAAGGAATCCCTTCTGAAACCTTGGTTCCAGGACAGATTTTTTCCCCAAGCACACTGGCCACTAAATTTGGGAAGGTTTGCCTACAGATTTTCCTGGCATTTCTGTTTCACTAGGCCTCTTTCCCTCCCTCTGACAAAAGACTGGACACAATACTTGTGGACCCAACCAACTTCAGTATGTATGTAAATATTACTTCTTTGTACAGATAATCTAGCAACTACCAAGATGTCAGTCTTCTAATTCACATGATGTCTTTTTAGTCTCTTTCAAATATTAAATATGAGGAGAACAGAACAGGAAAAATGTGGAGATTCTGACAAATCATTCTGAGATACTGATGGTTCAGTCGAAATGAAAGGAAACACCGTGGTTGTTCTGAGTTTCGGATGAGACAAAATAAAACCCAGACAGGACAAGTAAGGCACGGCTGGTTCTTGCTGGCCCCTCTCTCTGCTCTACAACTTCGCTCTACAGCATAATCCACTGTCCCACCTGTCCCCATTTTTCCTCCCGTTAGCAGCTGCCACTGCAAATGTCATAACACGTCCCACTGACCCGCCTGCTCCATGGTCGTCTTCTCTCTTTCCTCTCGGCTACTGGTGTTCCTGTCTGGAACAAACAGCCCTGTTTTGTTTGGTGCATAGGACAAAACTGCTCATCTGAACCACAGAAGAAAACAGCCCCCATTTCATTCAGAAACAAAGCACCCGAAACATGCACGTTTCAGTTCAGGCAGAGAGTAATCCAAATTAGCTGTTATGTGAACAGAATAGTTTATGCATTTTTCACATCCCTGTTAAATAGCCATTCTCATATACTCACCATGATTTGGGCTCTCCAAAATGCAAGTAGTTGATGCTGTAGAGATCCATGTCCTCTGTATGCCAAGCAAACGTGGTCTTCCACATCCCGAAGTAGAGGTAGGGGGTATTCACACCTTCTATGATAATTCCACACTGATGTTCCACCATGTCAAGAAGAGTGTTCAGATTCCCAATATTCCACTCTTCCACATCCTATGGGTGAAAATAAATCCAAATATCAAAGGAAAAGCAAATGCTCCTTCTACTCCCAAACAAAGGGGGCACTGACTGTCACATTCACAGGCAGCATCATAAGGAAAAACATCTGGCAGGAGCAGCTATTACAAACAGCAGGGCACGAGACATGTAATGGCCCACTGAGCAGTTCTGAGAAGGAAACGGACTAAAACACACTCTATTACACAGGCTCCCCTCTGCTGTCTAAAATCTGTTTACCACAACTTTTAAGATTCAGTTCACAGATGGAACAAAAGGTCTTCTAAAAGAAATGCACAGAAGTAGATACAAGAGGGAGAAAGGGAGAGAAGGATTCTGAGTGAAATCCATTCCAGCACAGTTTACACCAAGTATCACACACATGTGGATATCACCAAGTATTCTGCCTTAAAGGTCCCTGTCCATGAGATCCCTACCAACTTAGAATCAGTTTCAGAGCTGTTTAATTCCAAACAATTCATCACAATAGCTACAGTTTTGTTGGAACAAATCACACAAATTGACCCCAAAAGTCCTCAACATTCTCATTAATTCATAGTCCCCTTAGAGTTCTCATATAATTTAACTTGTTCCAAAGTTATCTAAATCTGCATTATACATATGCACTAATTTTATTTCAGGGTGACTTACTGCATCATACAAGGAACCACTGATATCTGCCCCATAAATAGGAGACACGAAAGTCAAATTCTTCCAGTATTTGCGCTCCAGATCATCAAAATCCTGATGACGAGGAGTACAGTACCTGGTAAGGAAAAAAGTTAAGAATTAGTAACCAGCTCAAATATGATAAGGTATCACATTTATTTTGGTATACATTTTTGTAAACTAGAATTTCCTTCATCTGATGAAATGGACGACAGGCCAGATCATTTAATGCCATAATAAATGCATTATATTATAAGGTAGGACAATTTATTTTGTTTACTTTGCACACAGAAAAACACCACCTTTCCAACTCTATTCTACAAAATGTTGCCTATGCATAGTCACTTCCTCGTGAGATGGGCGGTGTCTACATTTGAAATATAAATAAATAAATAAAATAAAATAAAAGCACAGTAGAATGTGCCATGGAGGCAACTCAACATGACCAGGAAAAAAACATGAGAAATAAAGTGTGCCTTTATGTATAATTTTACTACAAAAAGAAAAAAAATCCCCATGCCTTGTTTAATTAAAACCCAAGATAGTCCTAACAGAGACATACTTCTCACTATTAGCCAAACGCCGATAATCTCCAACCAGCATGGGTTTCTTCTGAATATTATACTGGGTGAAGAGTCCTGACTGTCCAGTCACCACCTGCTGAATGGGAGCAGGGATCACCATGCTGTCAATATCATCATAGCTCTTGCGTGGCTTCCATTCCTTGGGAGGAACCACCTGAAAAGTTTGGGAACAGAACAGTAACATGTAAAAACACCCTGTGAAAAGGCACAAGGATACCAATTTTTAAAAGCTAATTCTTCACACCTTTTCCAAACAAAACAAAACAATTCATTCTGGAAAGAGCAGGCTGGGGATTAGCTTATCTCAACTTTCCTATCACTAATCCAAGCCCAGTTACAACAGAATAGCATCAAGAGAACCGAATTCAGAATTCAATTCACCTTCAAGGAGTCTCACGAGGAGAAGTTCTTTCTAAAACAATTCCAGTCATGCAGCAAAGAAGTGCATTCATGTCTCCGTTCCCTCAGGCTGGATTGCTTTTCTGTTATGTTCTATTAGGCCCTCTCCTCCTTGTGAGGTTTGTGGGGTTTGGTCAAGATGGCAGGCCTTCTCAGCAGTAGCGGCCACTTTGTAGAATTCTCTCCCCTGAAGGTACACAGAGCCCCTACCCTTCTTGCTTTTCATGAGCAAGTGAAAAGCATCCTTTTTCAAAGTGCCTTCAGCCTGAGATGATTGGGGCACCTTGACGTATTACTGTACTGGTTTTACATTATTTTTGTATGCTCCCCAGAATTCTTCAAGATTGGAACAAACTAGAAATATTGTTGAATTAGATGATAATCAGAATATACCCCTGGCTGCTTCTCTATCATAATGTACAGGTTAGAAACAGAAAACAAAACATACAATCATTTAAAACTAACAAGGATTCTCAACCCTAAAAGCATCTATTAAGTCTTTGATATTGCAAGACTGAATCTTACAAAGCATATGATCCTAGCATAGTTCAGTTAGCAGAGCACAACTGAAAAGGTTTTTTTAAAAGGATGTGAAGTCTGAAGAGAAATTTGTAGCACAAGCTAACGTGGAAGCTTCAGACCCAATTCAGGATCCTGGCACTTTTTTTTACAAAATCCCACTCTGGGGTATATTCACATATTTGATTACTGTAACCATAGCTTAAAGGATTCAACCTCCAACAGAAAGCACTGTCAGAATCTTCTAACCCTGCTTCTGAGTCAATAAAAGAGAAATATCCCTCGTTAAATGTCCTGATTCCACTAAAGGAAAACTCAAAATTCCAGTTGCATAATATTGCTTGAAAAGTTTATCCAGCATTCTAGAATTCACTGCCATGACTACAGCTAACACTGTTCTCATGATCACTGAACAAAAGCAGCAGCTCTTACATTATGAGTGTCTGCTAGACAGTGGCAACCACATTAATTCAGTCAAGCCAAAGGTTATCATAGTCAGCCAAAGAGTGAATCAGGGAATATTCAACTATGCTGGCCTATCTTCAACAGCTGGATTAACAGGTCTAGTTTCAGCCCTTAAGTTGGATGCCCAAGGATCAGTAGTAATCAGGCCTGTGTTTGCACAGCTACAGCTATTGCCCCAGTTATGCTTATTCTTGAGGATGTCATACTGATCAACAGCAACATGTGCCTTAACTATATCCCACCAAGACTCTTTTACCAACAGATCTACTGGTTAGATCGTTGCTGGTGGCACAACAAGTACAGAACAGTAAAGAAGGGCAAGTCTTCAAATGCTGGACTCCTTGGGAGCATAGAATTACTAGGAATTTTTCTTGAATATATCATGTATCATGGGAATAAATGAGCTAGGGAAAGGATTCTGTTTACATCTCTCCTTGGATTCCTGTTTCCAGCACCCAAGTCCATTTTACTCTAGATTTCTGAACCTGAACATCAATTTGTTTCAGGAATATTGCTCATTGCTCTTTGGGATCTCTGGTATGGCCTGTTGTTTTCATCTTTGGACTGGGTTTTTGAATACCTTCCCCATCTTCTCCATCTTATACGCTGCGTTACTGGCTTTAATTATGCCTTAAGTTACCTAACCATCTTGAGAGAACTGAGGAAGGAAGGAAGGAAGGAAGGAAGGAGAGAGAGAGAGAGAGAGAGAGAGAGAGAGAGAGAGAGAGAGAGACTATATGATCTGTCAGAATCTAAACAACTAGGTACAAAAC